TGTGATACTAACCTGACTTATTTTTAAATTTCCCATTTCTTTTGTGACAAGAAATGACAAATTTTGAGTCGTTATTCCCCTTGCAGATTTTAGATGCATTTAATAATTCAATTGCTTTCAATACATTACTGCAAGTATTAAGAATCCCAAATGACTGGAGAAGAAGACAATGATCTTTTGACACTTCAATATTGTCCATTTTGACAGAAAAGAGAAAATGCTTGTTGATAGTTAATGTTAACGTATATGTTAACTGATCAGCTGGAATGTAGAAAATCTTATATATGATAATCGTAGACTCTTGGCTCATCATAGAAACTGTCCAACCAGAAGGGATTCTTGAAAATTGCAGTCGATTGTGGAGCAGTGAGGTTGATGATGTCTCAGCGGAATTATAGTGTGATCGATTGATCCGAACTACAAAATTTTGGGATTCCAAAGTAGCTCCCTTCAATTGATGTGATTTTGATGACCATCTCTTACGCTCGTAGTTCTTTCTTTTATCAAAATATAATCTTCTTTTTCCCATTTGTCACTGTTGTAGATTTTTTTAAAATCATATATACATAAAAGAAAAGAAAATAATATGCTTGCACGTTGCATGCATTCTATGCATTGCATTCACAATAGCCTGCATGCATGCCACATGCAGGCGAGACCATGCAGCATTATCATGTCCATTATCTAGCTTTATGCATAATGTATTGCAGTAAAATTATGTTATCCCACTGGAATAAATGATCCTTTATCAATATCAAACACTACAATAGGACTACTGACAATAGTTTAAAACTTTCAGTCCCACAAAAGACAGACAAGTTATTTGTGAAAACGGGCCTATTTTGGCATGAAGCATGCTGTATGGAGAGAATTTCAGCTTTATTCCATTAAAGCTACTAATACTGCACAATATGAGATAATGCAATATTGTATTGGTGTTACCTGTGTTTAAATAAAGTCCCACAAAGATTTTCTGCAAAGATGAAGGGATTCACCATTTAAATGTACGCAAGATCATAGCAGCTGTAACTAGTTATTAACAACAAGGATGGGCAGTTATAAGTAATGCGCTCACGTGATCAGTTTCCAATCCCGGTCTGTGTAATATATCTATGATAGATATTACTGTAAATATTAAAGGGATAGGAGTGTGGGTGGATTATCTCATTAGGTTGCCTATTATAAGTGAGTTTTTCCTTTGCGGACTTTTTCTTTCACTAATCAATGTCCTACTTCATCTCATAACTCTAAAGTGGCTTGTGTTCATCCTCTGCAATGATAATTAAGAGGCATTATAGATACCTCCCTTATACAGTCTGTCTAATTTTTGAAGCAAAATAATATTGATAACTGTGGGTGAAGTTTGATTTATTGACCTGTTATTGGGGTGTTATACCTTTTTTTGAGAGTATAAAAAATTAATACCAGAATTAACATTACCAACATACCATAGGGCATCTTTTTTTCGAGGGCTATAAATTTCGTGGATTTCACGATTTTTTTAAAATTTGTGGAAAATCAAATTAATATGGTACAAGATGGCAGATGGCGTAAATTCGCAAAATTAAAATCCAAAAAATTTATAGCCCTCGAAAAAAAGGCGCGCTACAGTAATTGGAAAACATGCAACAAAAATTACTCCCATGACAGATTTGGTAAATCAATTCAAAGTTTTTGCGGGACCTTTGTTGTATACCTTGTTCTTTACACTTCAATGAGTGACATGTACATTTGAATGCAATATTAAAACAAAGCTTGATGTACGTAATATAAACACAGCCATTATGAATCTGTGCCATTTATAACCTATTAAAATTTTCTTAGTAAATCCTTATTGTAAAAGTTTAAAATTTACTTTAAATGGAAAAACTATTATGGCGTAGGTAACTAGCATTTCCTGCTGCAAGCAGAAGTTTTTAATCCCTTGCATTTACTCTAATGTTATTTATGATTACATGTACATGTGTTTGATGGTTTAGATATTTATCTAAGAATATCAGTGGTTGATCTTTCAAGTGGTGTAGTAGAACCACCTCAAGCAATGAGAGCATGGCTAGTTTGGACTGTTAAAGAATTAAAACAGCATATAGGAGAAGTAAGAGAAAGGATATAATAATGTTTTTCTCCTTCCCTCCCTCCATTGATCTGGTCCATTTTTTTCTCTAGGCATATAATCTCAATTCATCATGTATGAGAGTAGTAATGAAGGAGAAGGAATACTGGAGTGATACTTCAGTCAGTGATATTAGTGATGTAGGAGGTACTTTGAATGAGATACTCGATATGAGAGGACACAATACTGTTAGTTCATACATTATTTATACTATAGCTAGAAACTTTTGAGGGATTAAACCATCCAAAGTTTACTTTCATTTTCACAAATCCATTTTAAGCACAGAGGATTTTAGTTTTGTGAATGTTGCTAAATTTACGGCAGTTTCTGGCTATACAGTTTCTGGCTGTGTGTTGTATGTGTCTGTGTGTTATAATGGTCTGCAATCAAAATATTTGGTGGGAATTTTATTTTGTGATTTTGTCAAAAATTTGCATTGGTGTCATTGAGCATGCATTTCAGCCAATGTCTCTATTATTTAAAGGGCCACTGCACTGAATTTTGGGGTATTTATTTTATGGTCTTAATATGATTGCCTGATCATAATAATGATGTGTTCCAACTTCCATTGTCTAAAAAAAATTTATTCACTGAGATATGAGCCTTCAAAAATGTTACTTCCTGTCGGTGGGTGTGGCTAAACGTGACGTCACAACAGGATAAATCCATTCCTTT